AACTCTGCCCTAGATTGGAGGCCTCCCTTGATTCTGGTTCCTAGGGCACTCCCTTGCATAGTGCTGGGCACTGCAGCATATGCGACAGGTGTTGTTGAGGCGGTAGCAGGGTCGGTCCCCATGATCCCTGCCGCAGTACTGGCAGATCTTCCCACGTGCTGCCCTGGTAGCCTGAGGAGGGGCCTGGACGACGGGTCTGGGCCTCTTACTGGGTTGGACAGGCATGGTAGGCGCTGGCCTGCGGAGCGGGGCTGAGGGTCGGGAACTTCCCGCTAGCTGAGGACGGGTGTCGAAGCTCCTTTCTATGATCTGCACCTTTGCTAGGACTGCCGAATATGTCTCGAGCTCCATCACCAGTAAGTGCTGTCTAATCTCCGGGCGGAGACCCCACTGGAATTTCCTGGCCTTTCGGCCCTCATCCAACAATGTCTCCGGGGCATGTCGGCCCAGCTCCAGGAACTTACGGGCATACTCCGACACTGTTATATTTCCCTGGACCAATTGAGCAAATTCCATTTCCTTTAGATGTTGGATGTGTTTAGGGAGATACTCCGTATGGAAGGCCGCTAGGAACTGCTCCCAAGTAACTGGTGTAGGCAGGGTGGCCCGCTTGAGCTCCCACCAGCGTACTGCTTCCCCCACCAGCATGTAGGAGGCAATGGCAACCCTCTGCTCAGGAACTACTCCCAAGGTCTCGAAAGCTCTCTCAGTCTCTGCCAGCCAGTATTGGGCCTCTTCGAAAGAGGATCCCCCTGAAAAAGTGGAAGGGTTCAGTCTTCTGTACCTCTCTATGAAGCAGGGGTCGATCAAGGAGGGAGCGGGGTCCCGAGGTAGAGGGACTGGGGCCGGCTGAGGGTGAACTGGGGGACCCTGTGGTGGCGCCTGCTGATGTCGTGGGGGCACTGGAATGTGCTGTGGCGGCACCTGTTGGTATTGTGGCTGTGGTACCGGGTGGTACCGTGGAGGAACAGGCTCCTGCCGGGGTGGCTCAAGATCCGCCTGCTGTAGCGGGGGCTCAACCTGCGCTAGCGGAGGAGGTCCCGGTAACTCCCTTCTCTCCTATTGCCTTCTCTGGGCAGCTGCGAGAGCCTCCACCATCTCGAATAGTCTATCTAAATCCTCCCGAAGTGAATTATCTGGGGCCGCTCGGTTTAGTGGGGGCCTTCCTCTCCTCATTCCCGTGTACCTGCATTCACAAGGAATGCTTGAGTAACGATATATCGGTGGGTATTTCTCTAAGGCACTATTGTGTAAGGGATGGGTCCGAGGAAATGCGGCTCTGATACCAACTGTAGCAGCCCTAGAAATTCATAATGAAATGTATATTAAAAATATCAAATGCGGAAGCGAAGTCAAGATTTGAATAACATCCCTTACACTAAAACCAAAAACGTGCTCACAAAATATAAAAGATCAAACTACCTAAAGGAGAAACTTGAAAGTAAAAGCTACGAATATGACTATGGAGTCTTTAGGCGTCCCCTTCGTCGTCCTCCTGTGGAACCGGCTCAGGAACGATGTCCTCTTGATCTGAAATGATTAAATAAGGAATGAGCTACACTAGCCCAGTAAAGACATCACGATATCTCATCGTCACGGAGGTAAAGGTGGGTAGAAAACACAAAAAGACCAATGGAGCATAATTTACAACAAATCCTTTTATTAATAATAAAACCTTTACCATTCACTTACCTCGGTGAAATTCATAAAATAATATACGAAAACAATAACATCATAATCATCATGAAATCATATATATAAACTGTATAACATAATACTTATCAAGCTTTTCGTAATTCAATCGTTACACAACATATTTTCCTCGTTTACCAACCCACTAGTATCCATGGGGATCCATAGGGGTCCTGCTACCCGTTAACCCTTAACACTTGAAATCATATTCCAGGGCCGTCCCCATACCCCGTCCGGTATGGGCGCCAAACCATAGACCTCATTACCCCGTCCGGTATGAGGGTGAAACGGGCCGTCCCCATACCCCATCCGGTATGGGCGCCAAAACACATAAGATCTCCATACCCCGTCCGGTATGGGAGAGCACAATCCCGGTAGGGTTCCCTACGGACCCGGTCCGTCCACCATCTCTCAGGATATCTAGTCAGGCTGACCACATTATACAATTTCCATTTACATAATCTTTCATTCTCCTTTTCCCTCAGTCAGCATTATTAATCACATACAAACAAGCAAAACGATAATTTATGCCAAACAGACAACATACAGCATCAATATCCCGGTCATTCAATCCATAATCAATAAAGCAGTAAAATATGCACATGAAACTATAAAATGAAAACATCGAACCTCATGCTGCATTTAAAACTATAAAACAGACCAAATAACAGTTAACCGACAAACACACTAGACTCGGGCTCCATTAGCGACCTTAAGCAATTT